CCCACCCGCCTATACCCGGCCTGGCCCGCTCCCACCGCCAGCTCACGGCCTTGACCGCTTGTGTGTCGTTACCAGTCGTCGTCCCCCCCCCCATGCTAACCCTCTATGTGTTTCTCCTCAGCCTTCCGGAGCGCTTTCCGGGCGCGGGGCGCGCTGGCGGTGCTGCAGCACTTCGACCCCCTCTACAGTTTGCTCCAGTGAGTACAGAACGACGGCGGCGCGGGGATGGGGCTCCTGGGGGCATTGGGAGCAGAGTGGGCGGAGGAGGAGGGTTGCAGGGAGGCTCACGCCTTTCCATGGTAGCGTTTGCTCGCTGTCTTCATGCACTGTGCTTGTCCTTGCAGCCACTTCCGAGCTGTGGAGACTACTGTCAAGGAGGATGCCCTGGAACTGATGATGCAGGGTGGGTTTCTGCTGTTTCCAGCTGAAGCAAGAATAATAGAGAGGTTGTTCTCCTTTAGCAGTTCAATGATGATATAAAGGCTAATGTGACTTGACCAGTTGGGTTGCACCCTCAACCCATTCCGGTAATACGGGTCTGTAATCTTGGTGGACAATGCAGAGCTGTGCGTGTTCGCTGTAAGGGCAGGCCGACAGAAAATCCACTTCCCCATATCCCTGGAGAATACATCTTTGGGATGCATCAGCTCAGAGGGAGTGTTTCTGTGAGCTGAGGGGGAGCTGTGGGGATAGGACAGGACAAGACAGGGCTTCCAAGGTTTGGGTTGCAGGGGGTAGCCCATGTTACAGCTGGTGAGATGTGAGCACATGTCTTTGGTAATCTGATGACTGCTGTAAGTCCTCAAAAGAGAGGATGGCTGAGGGGCCTGGTGAGGAGTGCTCATAACTTTCTACTTCTCTTCAGTGGTGTCCCGTCATTCCAATGATCTTCCTGCCATCTTGGGTGATTCTGGGCTGAGCCGTGCAGACCGCGCTGCTCACCTCAATGCTCTTAAGATGAACTGCTATTTGTTGACTGGCCTGGTGGACGCCTTTGAAGTGGAAACCTGCAAAAATGGTTTGCTGGAGGTGCATCCTGGTGGGAAGGTAGGTGAGGGGACTGGGAGGAAAGCAAGATGATAAAAGCTGAACTCTGTAGTATTTATCGGATATTATAGCTGGTTTTATTTAAACATGATGCTGGCAAGACCAACGCATGATGTAGAGTACTGGGATTTCTGTGCAACTGTACATAAAACAGCCATAGGGACAATATTTGAGTCTCCTCCGGGGCTTAAATGTCCAGGCCTTTCTGTTTTATTCTTCAATGTCTGGCTGGCACTTTGTGTGCCAGTATTTTCTCAAAAGCTCCTTTCTATGGCCAAAGATGACAGCAACAGTCATTTGATGTAAGCGTGTAAGCTTCTCATATACCTCACTGTACATCTCTTACTGCTGTAGAATTTAATCGTTGTTTTCTTTTTTAAGGGAAGCAGGGTGGCAATGGTGTGTTTTTCTGTTATTGAGCTTCTGATGTATCTCATCTTGTAATCTTCTTTCCAGAATAAGAAGAACTGTACCAAGAACTCTGGATCCTTGTGGGAAGAAGATAAGGAGCCACTCTTACGGCTGCTCACACAGCTGCTGCAGCTGGATCTCCGTCAGCTTTGGGGTGGTTTGGTGGTGGAAGATGAGTTTATCAGGTATGGGAAGGAGTGGATATAGAGGTGGGATGGGTGACAGTGGTTTTCTGGAAAGGAAGGTTAAATGTTAAATCTGCCAGTGAAGTGGTATCATCTATGGGGTCTAAATTGCTGGGAAACTGTGTTTAGAAACCTCTTCCTTGCCTCATGTAGGGCTCTCGAATTCAGATGGCTTTTGCTCATTTTTTTAAGGATATTGGAGAAGTTCTGGTTTGAGAGAAATGTTTGCCTGGTGCAATGTGCTGGAATGATGTTGGTGCAAATTGTGGTAGTACAGTTCTCTGTCTTTATTCTATGGCTTTAGCTTAATGACGGGAATCTCCTACCGTATCCTGGAAAATCCAAGTATCGGTCTTCAGAGGTACCGGGCCATACGGGATGCTGTGACACATCTGCTTGCTGCAGCCCTGACTCACTATGATCACATGTTCAGTGAGTTCCTGCTCTTCTGCATTCTTCCTCAAGCCGTTCCCAGTTACTTTCCCTGACTTCTTTCTTCCTCCTCATGCATGAAAGGTGCCACTCTGAAGATCACACAGATGCTGCAGCACTTTGAACATGTAGCCCCAGTGTTTGCGCAGGCTGTGAGCTGCTGGGCTACAGAGTATGGTCTGAAAAGCCTGGTGGGTGAATTGTTAAGGTGAGAGAAATACCTTAGGCCTGTCCTATCCCTAGCAACTTGAGGCACCTTATTCCTCGTTTCACCTTTCTGTGCAGGGAAATAGGACAGAAATGTCCGCAGGATCTGGCCCGTGATGCTTCTGGATTCAAAGGTTCTGCTACCTTTATAACTGAACTGGCTGAACAAATTCCAGCTGTGGTGTTATCCAACATGAGCGTTCTCCTGCCTCACTTGGATGAGGAGGTACATTTCTGCAATATTGCCTGTTCAGAGACATCAAGTGGTGGAGGTGCTGCTATCCCATTTTTCTGTCTGAAAATGGAACCTCTTTCACAGAGATCAAGTAGCTAAAACCCACCCTTTAGAATACCTTACCTAAAAGGTGCAAAGGAAAAGGAAACTGTGACATCTACTGTCTGGTTGTTGCTCACAGCTATCAGAGAACAGGAGACTGCTTACTGGTCTGAGATCCCAGCTGTTGTCCCTTGTTTTTCAGTACTTAATGGGTTTGTCATGGTATTACCTTTTCTTAAACTGCTTTTAAAAGCCTTACGTGTTTCTCATATTGGTTCTTGGCTTCTGTGGACCTAGCTGGATAGTAGGGTTGGATTGCAGGCACAGCCATGTATTAACACAAGGTTAACACAAAGTCCATAATGGAGAAATTCTCTTGGGCTGGAGCCTGGGACTTCAACAGACCAAACTCTAGGCCGTCTTTCCCCTTGGCATGTCAAGTCATGTCTCTTTGTCTGTTCCTGGTTCAGTCCTGGTTCAGCAACTCTTCGTTTTGCAGAGTTACACGATGCGAAATGCTGTTCTGGTGGCTATGGCAGAAGTGCTGGTGCAGGTGCTGAATGGCAACCAGCTGGAGGAAGCTGCCCGTGGTACTCGGGACCAGTTCTTGAATATACTGCAGGCCCACATCTGTGATGTCAATGGCTTTGTGCGCAGCCGTGTGCTGCAGCTTTTCACTCGAATCGTTCAGTGCAAGGTAAGTCTGTGCTGGGGAAATGGCGTTGTCTCAGTCATCCTTTCCCCTGTTGTGTTTTCTAAGGGAATTTCTGTGACCTTGCTCTTTGTTTACAAAGACTGAAGTTTAACAGACAAAGGTATTGTCCCTGTGTACTGTGGTGTCTGCGGTTCTTCTTTCCCCAGGAGACCAAAGATCCCAGAGGCAGGGGAACTGGGGAACAGAAATGAAATGCTGCTCTTCATTATTGGGACAGACTAGAAGGAAGAGCACAGTACACAAGTTCTTTTTGGATGTTGATATGGGAAAACATCACCTTTGCTAGTTATACTGAGACTCAACCTGCCAGAGGAGGTTTAGTTTAGATATTAAGAAAAACTTCTTCACTGAAAGGGTTATCGGTTGTTGGAACAGGCTGCCCAGGGAAGTGGTGGAGTCACTATCCCTGGAAGTATTTAAAAGACGGGTAGATGAGGTGCTTAGATACATGGTTTGGCAGCAGACAGGTTATGGTTTGACTCCATGATCTTAAAGGTCTTTTCCAACCAAATGATTCTGTGAACTCAACGGGACCCTGGATAACCTAATCTAAGTCCTTGCTTTCAACAGAGTTTGGACCAGAAGATATTCAGAAGTCCCTTCAGACTTAGATTTTTCGATAAATATATAATCTCTGCCTTTTAGTATGTTTATATGTCTGCCGTAAAATAACTTTTCATGAGTTTCTAGGCTTTCTTGATAACTTTTTCTATGCTTTCATTGTGTGCTAGGCCCTGCCTTTGACTCAGTTTCAGTCTGTGTTATCGCTGGCTGTTGAACGTCTCAGAGACAAATCTGTGATAGTAGTTAAAAATGCGATCCAGCTCCTGGCTGCATTTTTGTCCAACAATCCCTTCTCCGGCAAGGTAACTCTGACTAGTGTGATGGATGTGCTAGATGTCTGTTTGCAGGCTGAATATCTGCAGTGTGCTACAGCCAGGGCAGGAGCCTTTCTGTGTCTTGTGGGAGGGGCAACGTAGCCTTTGACTTTGCAGGTGGGAGTTTTCTGGTTTTCCCAGGTTCAGATCTTGCTTTCTCTGGCTCTTCCCTCACTTGGTGTATTTGGTAGGTAAGCCTGGGGAGGGATGTGTTTGATTGTGGAAAAACCTGCAGCAGTTTAATTTTAATCCACTGTGGAGTTTCTTTTCTTAGGATCAGAATTAGTCTTTTAGAACATTCTGCACAGAGCTGCAGCTCTCGTTTTAGCTGCACCTTTTCCTGAGCTTCTGAGCATCAGACTGGCAATCTACAGCAGTTCCTATTCTAGGATGAGGGCTAGAGTCTACTATTCTAGTTTCCAAAACCTGCATTGTCTAAGGGGATGAACAACTTAAAGCAGGAAGGGAAAGAGAAAGGAGAATTCTAGCATTTCAGGAAAAGGAGAATAAATAACATATTTCTTCTCTTCTTGGCATCTTCAGTTAAGCTGTACTGACTTGGCCGAGCCACTGAAGAAAGAGGTGCAGAAGCTGAAAGAAATGAAGGACCATAGCAGATCTACAGCAGGTAATTTCCCTTATTCATCTCTTTCCCCTTCACAGGGCCACCAGGGTTTATTTTTCCTCATCTTAAATTTGCTCCTAGGTTGTTGTTTTCATCTCAGATCTGACTTGTGAGACAGTAAGGCCAGATAACTGGGATTAAACTCACAACAGTGTTTCATACAGTGGCATTATAAAAGTAACATATGAATGTCTGTATCTAGATCAACAGTCCACTTAGCTAAATATCCTATTTTCAGAATAAGAACTCAAAATGCAGTTTGGGTTTCCCTTTTCAACTATTCGAGGACTGCATAATTTTGTTCAGATATTAATTAGAACTTGATTAGCCTTGGATGTGGTGCTGCCTACAAAACAATAAATAGTAAATGATGGTTCTCTCTTACCTTTTACTCTCAGTGTGGTGGGTTGTTTGGTTTTTTTAAGCCAAAGAGTTCTTGTCAATTCTTACAGCATTCTGGGTGGGATCAGCAATGGGAACAGTATCTGCCTGTGGAGGAAAAAAAAAGTAGAATTCATACGTTCCAGATGAGTTTCCCCATTTAGGGTGTCATTTCAGTCTCTGTAGTCTTTGTTCCCTCTTGTATTTTTTAATAGCTCCAGCAATCCCTCCAGAGGAAGAGTGGGAAGCGATGCTGCCAGAAGTTAGGGCTGCCACAGAGCAGCTCTTTCAACCACTGCAGGAAGGAGAAGAGGAGGTGCTGGAGGTTGAGGAAACGGTGGAGAGTACATCAGAGAAAATTACTGGCCTGCTGAGGAGGCTGAATTACAAGTAAGAAGGCTCTGTAGTTTGAGAGAGTGTTTATCCCAAGGGATGTGTCAGTGTCTTGTTCTCTGTTCAAGAAAGGTTTGAGCTCCAGGGTAGAGGGATGATTTCCAGTAACACTACTCTGTAGGAAGAGAGATTGACATGGGCACACAGCATTAAGATGCTGGCAGAAGCTGCTTTTCCAGGTGTTCAGGGCAAGGTTGGATGGTTTCCCTTGTGTTCTGCCCCAACAAGTTGCTGATGTTCTCTGGGGCAATGTCATTGTCCAGGAGTGCAGCCCGCCTTACGCAGAAGGCCCTGTGTCGCTTCCAGGGGAAGGAACCCTTCAGCGGCCCCATGGAGGAAAACAAGGAGGCAACAATCCTGGGCGTTCTGAAGAGACTTTACATAGGTAACTATTTCAGATCACTCTGTCTCTTCCTTAAGTCCAAGCTGATGCCAGAGTTAGACCAAAACCCTCTGGAATATCCTATCCCTCCTGACCCATGGGGCTCAGTCTGCGTGTACTTGGCGTGTACATGGAGCTGCACCGTCTCTGGATCATTTCCTTATTTAGTGGCCTGGCATTTTGGCTGGATCACAGTAGTTCTATTATTTCATTAATGGTCAGAATAGCTCCATGTTCCCCCTAGAAGTGCATTTCTGATGCTTTAATTTGCATAATGCCTGCTCAGGGGAGTGAAGCCACTGTTACTCACTCACACCTTTCTGTCCTGTCTGAATTTGTCAGGAGTTCTGCTTCCTGAACAGGTGGTGGCACATGATGCTTACCCTTAGTGGCATTGACTGAGTATCTGATTTGAACTAACTCTCACTTATCTGGGGCTTAAGCCTCTGGGCATACTTTTAAGACTTCACATGCTTTATCTTTTGGTGTTTGTTTCAGAATAAAGTTTCCTAGCCAATCCCCTTGAGCTCATTTCTATTAAAAGGCTACCGTCTAAATAATTTAATCTTCTTAACTTTGTCAACTCTCCACCCTTGCATGAACTTTGCTAGGCAGTAATAGTGTTTGCCTTCTTCCTACTCTGCTCGGATTCCCTTGTAAGGTCTCATCCATCTTTGGGGAGCTCTCAAGTTCAGGTTAACCCCTTCAGCATTTTAATGGAGTGAGATTTTGTTGTTGTAGCTAAGTCTGATGGCAGAATTTGGATTTTTGTCTCCTGGCTCTTGGAAGGTGTTACTGTGGGGTGGAGAGAGAAGGGTGTAAAATGCCCTGAACTGTACCTGTTTCTCTTGTACCTTCAATACTGCTTACAAGCAAGTGTTCATGCTGTGCAGGTTCATGCCCAGGTGAGAACAGTGAGGATTCTCCACATGGCAACAGTAGTTGTGAAACTGAGGAAGCTGCACTGGAAGAGCAACCTCAAACAGAGCTGGCCAAACAGGAGATGTTGGTGCAATACCTGAAAGATGCTTACAACTTCTCAGTGAAAATCACAGAAGCCCTGGGCCTGATCAGCAAGATGATGTATGAAACCTGTGTCTCAGGTGTGTGAAATAACCATAGGGCTCTTCCTCCCCTATTCTGCATTTCCAGATCTTTCCCCTTGCTGGAAAGGAGACGTGGAAGTGGTGGAGCTCCAGGGAGAGGGGAAAAGAGCTGCTCTTCACTGAGCTGAGCAGATGTCACGAACACTTCCAGGGTGCAAGTACCATCTAAATGAGTGTCATTAAGAGGTTGCGTTAGGCCATTAATGGACTTTTTAGGAATCCGTTTTTTAAATATTAAGGTTGAAAATGTTTTTAAAAGCCAGATGACCAAAATGACTTAATTTACGGAGGCTTCCCCACTCCTGTGGGAGGGGATGTATATTCATGTCATGGTTTATACAGTTGCTCTATCACCAATGACTCCTTCTTACCTGGGGAGAGGGGTCGGGAAAAGGAAAGGAGATTTGTGGGTTGAAATAGAAATAGATTTAATAAGATAATAATTAAAAACTAGTATTAATAACTATTAATATAAAGTACACAGAGTTGTACTCAGGCAGTATTTCGGGGGAGTAGGCCTCATGATAAACAAGTCCCTCTCGAGATGTCAGCCATGGAAGAGAGAAGGAGGAGAGCTGTCCCCAGCAAACTTGCCAGTTTATAGTGAATGTGATGTTTATGGCATGGAATAGTACTAATTGGTAAGCTCCTCTGGGTGTCTGTTTTCCCCAGCCTCTGCGCCTGTTTATCTCAAGACTGGTGAAGGCCTTGAGCATCACACAGCAGCATTAGCTGAAACCTATAACAAAGTCTTATCACTCTGTTCCCATGAAATAGAGTATAAATCACAGTTTCCTCAACAGAAAACTGACTCTGAAATTCTGTCCCAGTAAACCAGGACAGTTCTTCATCTTGGCTGAGGTTCTCCCAGAGTAAACATGGCTAGTGAAGCTGGGTTCTGCTACCTGCTCAGTGCCCTGATGCAGTTTTGGGTGTTACGCTGGCCACAGGAGGGGAACTGAGCAGCTTGTCTGATCCACCTCACCTTACCTTGAACTTCCTTGAATTCTGTAGCTGAAAGTGATGCTAATCAACACGTTCTATGGCCTGGTCCTCTTCAGTGCTGTAGTGAAAGGTGGTGATGAGTAGGCCTTTGAGTTAATTCAGCTATTCATATTTAATATTAGAACTACTGTAACCAGTTAGACTACTTTTTTTAAGTGCTTATCATGAATCAGCACCCCTGAGGGGGCTGGAGCACGGAGGGGCACAGCTCCCTCTTCTCCCATCCTGCCTGGCACACCCACTTGCCAACCACTCGCATAGTTCTGGGGTACAGATGGGCACCACAACACCCCAGCCTCATGCAAACACTTCTGAGGCTTTGTTTGTATTAAGAGCTCTTGTGTCACCATGATAAGTGTGCGGGCTTCCCCAGCAAGGTTTGGATGTTGTTAGTTGTTTGCATTCACAAAAACAATCTGAGTTCAGTGTCTTTACAGGTCATTTGAAGTTCAAAGCTGGGAGGGTGCCCCTCACCTGATACTTAAACACCTGGGTTTTGGGTTAGTTTTTTATGGCTGCACTGATTTTGCTAACCTTCCACCTCCCTGTTGCCCTGTGCAGTAGTGTAAGGAAGGCAAGTTGAGTGTCTGGACAGCCAAGACTTTCTGAGACATTGTCTCCATTTGGAGACAGTATACTGTTGGGTGAGAGGGTGGTGATAAGGGCTGTCTGTGCTCAGATTTGGGTTTTTTTAATTAAATATTTAAGATTTAGAGATTTAATTTTATTTTTTCTGTTGCTAATCTGGGGTGACTGGGGGCAGATGAAGCATGCCAGCTTGTGTGATAGGGGATCTTTATGCAGATTTATGATTTGGGGCTTATACTGGTGTAAACTCCCGCTTACCCAGGGGTCAGACTCCGAACTGTTCATTGTATGGTTCCTTTAATTACTGTGGCGCTCTTGTGAATGCTCTCTGACTTAATGTTTTTTCTTATGAGCAGAAGACTGTGCAGTATTTCAGGAGTAGTCACGCTGGAATCAAATACGTAATTACCCCATTTACACATCAAATAGCTTAGTTCTTCTGCTTACAGCATCGCACTGGGACTCACATTCAGCTGCTCTTGTCTGCTGCGTCCATGAGATCTCTTTTTTTTCCCAAAGCTACTGTTTTCCAGAGGAGAATCTTGTCCTTTCTCAAACGTGGTCTCCATTCTTTTCACTTAAATATATCACATTAGATTTAGTTGTAATATTGTTAACCTGCGCCTGTTTCTTCCAGGACGTCTACATCTTTGTACTAGTGACCCCTTTCTGACTTGAGCCCTCTGCAGACAGTAGCAGTGATCTTAGATGCTTGTAGGGCTTGCTGTGGGAGCAGTTTGCCTATGAATTTGTTTTAATGGCCTCTCTAATGGGGACTGGGAAAGAACTGCACTAACACAACTGTTTTTCTCTCTGCAGTGGTGCAGGAAGCCATTGAGTTCTTTGTGACAGTCTCACAGTTTGGTGTGCCCCAGGGGGTGCTTGGAGTCCGCAAGATGCTCCCCCTTGTATGGTCAAAAGAGCCTGGTATTAAAGAGGCCGTGCTGAATGCCTACAGGCGGCTCTATCTGAGCCCCAGCGGGGATTCAGAGAGGTATGTCTCTTCCTAATCTGAAAGTTGTTTTTTTCCTTGTTTTTATCTCTCCCCTGTTTCTTTTTTTGGGGAGCTGTTGTGAATGGGGTATGGACAGGAAGAGAAATCAATGTTGCCACGCTTCATGCTGAGCTGAAATGTAAGGTTAGATATCTGAGTATCCCAATCTTCCTGTGAAACCTACTGCTGAGCTTCTGCTCTTGGTTTGTCATAGTATTCATGTGTAGGAAATTCTTGCAGCAAAACTCTATGTGAGACCTTATGGAATGAGAAGCTGAGAATTATTTTAAATTAAACTGTTGTCAGGTGCTCATGGTTAATATTCTCATAAATTTCACTCTCATACAAAGCACTGCACCAAGATACAAGTGCCCAAATGATCTGGGTAGGGTCTCTATGTAACGGGGAACAAGGGGTGTCAGTTATGAATGTAAGTCTTGTCAGCAGGTTCTTGATTGGCAACAATGAATTGATTTTTTGGATGGCTATTTCAACCCCTTTGGGAGTCAACTGTTGTTATGGAGTCATCCCATAACTAAGAGTCTTGCATACTTCACCCTCTGTGAGCAAAATTGTTGCCCAATGTCTGTTCCCCCACTTTGGGTTTCTTATGGCAGTAGTTGCTCATCCTGTGTTGGGACAATAGAAGTGGTACACGGTATGGCTTAAAGCTGGAGCTATATTTCTGTTACCAGAGCTCGGATTTTTTGCTGACAAGTCACACATGCTGTGTCTTTATCTGAGCATAGGCATTCTGCTTCTGATGTAAACAACACATTCCTCAGTGTTTACTGGTTTTCTTACTGTTCAATGTGTCCTTGATTTCTCAATATACACCGTTCCTTTATCCCTCATGCCATAAAGGTTGATTATTGTTATTGTTGTTGTTTGGGTGCTTTCACACATTTCTATTTGTATTTCTTTCAGACTGAACTTAAATCTTTCTGTAACAAAACTGTGTGGCAGATGAGAGGACATTAAGGGGTCTTTCTTGCTGGTCTCTATTGAGGGATTGGTAGCAGGAGCTGGGTACTGCTTGCGTGTTTATTTCTTCCACACGAGAGAGGAGCTGTGTCTGCTCTCTACTGTGGCACTTGCTCTTTTTTCTTAGCACTTGCCCACATGTAAATCCTGTTGGATTCACATTCACTAAGATAAGTGTGATCCCTGGTGAGATGCACCATAGCTCATCTTCATTTGTACCATCAGGGCAATAAAAAGCACTCACTGCTTCTTATTTCATCTTGATGGTATTGCCTGGAGATAACTCTCCTGCAGTTTGAGCTCTGGTCTTGTTTGTTAAAAGAGATTTTTTCAGTTTCTTATGCTCTAGGGAATAGTGCTTTGACTGGTGGTTGAGAGCAAACTGGGAAGTGGCTGGTGAGTGCTTCTTGTTGGGCCTTTGAGTGCTGGGAAGAGCAGCAGTACTCAAAGCAGTGGACTTTTGAGCCCCTGTCATGCTCATTGGCACTTGAGCTGGGTGACTTGGAGAACTCCAGCTTGTGGAGGGGGAAATTTTCATGTCCCCAGGGACCAGCTCTGTTATCTAATAGATGTCCTCGGCTTTCTGAATAGGAGAGTAATTGTGACAGCTGCTTTTTCTTTACCTTTTAATTTTTAAAAATTATTCTATTCCCCCTCCCCACCCCCCACCTTCGAAGAGCCAGGGCCCAGAGCCTGGTGAATTCTCTCTTTCTCATCATGGTGGATGCATCAGTAGGAGCAATACAGTCCCTGGAAGAAATAGTGAGTACTTGCCTTGCCTGGATTTGGCTTGTATTTGTGATCTTAGATGTCTGTTATATTAAAATGGTAGTCATTGCAGTTAATATCTTTGTTGGTTTGAAGTCCATCCTCCTCTGCCTCTTCCTACTTGTTTTGTTGCGTTTCTTTTCCAGATCTCAGAGTTTGTGCAGAAAGATGAAATAAAGCCTGCTGTGATCCAGCTGCTTTGGGAGCGATTCACAGAAAAGTCTCAGTGCTCATCACTTGAACGACGCGCTGCTGTGATGCTGCTGGGCATGATGGCACGGTGAGCCCAGGGCCCGGTCAAATCCTGTGACTGGGAGGATGTACAGGGAATTGATTTTTATCGAAGAGCTGTGGGTGCTGCATCAGCTGACCCTTTGTTCTGCAGCTTCAAAATTAATAAAGACGTCATGGAGTAATGAAGTCTGCAACTAAACATAGCTGTCCTGGGTCCCACCAGCACGGTGTCTGAATGAGTGTGACTACATTACTTTCTTTGTGTTTTGAATGTCCATCCCTTCTCAGGGTTTACTGTGTCACAGCTCTGCAGCTTTGTCTGTGTTTAGATAAGAACAGTGAGAACCTGCTGAGTAGAGATGTCTGGAGCCTTTACCATGGAGGGAAATTAATCTGTTTCCCTTTCTGGGGGCAAAAAGAGTGTAATTGCACTAAAAGGTTTTCATTTCCTCTGTTTCTCAGTCTAGTAACCCTTTGGCATTTAGCTTACCTGCTGATTTCTTCTTGCTCTTCCTACTCCAGTCCTTCATCAGTCAAAAATTGGCCTGCAAAATTATGAACTTAAAGCTCTTGGCTGTAGAGTTGGAGCCATCTCTGGAGCTTACAGCCAGTTCTGCAATTTGAGTATTAGATATTCCTTCCAAGGTATTTCTACCACCCCATCCCACGTGCTTGCAGCAGAATTGCAGCTATCATCTCAAAATTAATATCCTTCCCTGAAATCACAGGATTTAAAGAAAACTACGTTTCTGGGGTATCCCATGAGATCCTATGTCAAGTCCATGGGTATGTGCATGTGAAATAAGAACAGCATTGCCATCTTCACAGACATGCTAAGGGAGGTGATTTTGCTTTTGCCCTATAGATGCTCATTATGAACTTTTTAGAATCTCTTTTTAAAATGCATTAGATTCTGTTCTTGCCTTATTCACCCAGTTAACTGTGTATGTCTCCCACAGTAGGGGAAAAAGTGTCACACATCACCAGTCCTGAGCTGCTGGATTCCTCTGTTTTGCAACATTATTCTTTGTCTTACTGTTTTAAGTTTTGCTGCTTTCTGATAAGCAAGAAGAGTAAAGAATCTTGACATATGTATGCCCAGTGTTGTTCACTTTGGAGAACCTCCTCTTTTAGTGAAATATGGATTATACTTACTGCCTTCCAGGGAATATTGCTTGCTGCTCATATAGATATATCTTGAGCCACTGGGTGGATTTTTACGCTTTTCCCCTCACTCAAACCACTGCCTTCCGCAAGGCACAAGGAGTATTTCTACTGGTTATGCATACTTCTGTAAAATTTCAGCTGCAACTCATGTCATACCCCTCTCCCTTCTGTTCCACAGAGGGAAGCCAGAGATCATAGGTAGCAACCTGGATGTCTTGGTGCCTGTAGGACTGTCCGAGAAGGTCTGTGAAGACTATCAGCTGGCTCAAGAAGTATGCAATGCAATCTCCAAACTTGCCAGTAACCCTCGGGTAAGAGTCTTGGCTTGTTTTTGAGGTCATCCAGAAACAGAGTTAACCAGAAACAAAGGAGGAGGGAAAACGGTTTGTATTGAGAGTAGAGAGAAGTGATTAAGTTTTTACTGATTTTGAAATTAAGTAGGTTGAGATCATTCAGCAGCACTGTCTGGAAAGCTTTAGTACACATCAGTGAACATGTAATAAAAGAATTTTTATTAGACAGCAGGCTGAATTCAATTAGTAAAGAGCTCAGTGCACAAGAAAATCTGTTTTCCTTTCAATTCTCTTCCTCAGACTCAGTTCTGAGCTGATTTGTGTTTCCTCAACCATGAAGCCCTTTCCTCTACTGATGTTTTCTGGTGGTGTGATTCTTTTGCCCTCCCTATTAATTAATATTTGGGACTTGTCAGCTGTACAGCTGAATATAAAACATGAAAGGTTTTCAAACCTGTCCATGTTGTACTTACAATAGCATGATGGTTGCCTATCAGATAGCGTCTTTGTCTGGGGAACAATTTATACTTTTTTTTTTTTTTAATGCACTTGGGAAAAAAATCCTGATTTTTTACTCAAGCATTTATGGCATTTTTGTTCAGGAGTTGCAGCATAAAAGCAGCCCTCCTTCACACAGCACCATCATTCTGCATTTGCCCCTTCCACTGTGGATGTTACTGTAAGGCCTTCATGAATTACCATGTATCACAATGTTCTTAAAAGTTCTGAAGAAAGTAGACTTAACTCTCCAGTTAAGTTTGTATGTGAGAAAGGACTGAACTGTAGACACTTGAATGACTCTGGTAGCTCTTCCTTCTCCTTTGCCTCCCCCGCCAACCAGAAATTCAGTACAGAGCTTAGGATTGTAGTGAATTGAGAAATTTGTTTCCAGCTTTCTCCTGAAAGCTGGAAAGCAGGAGCTTGTTTTCGTCAAGTATTTCTTGATCAGGCAGCCACAGACATGCTGGGATATCTCTGGCATTCACAGAATCACAGCATATTAGGAGTTGG